TGATGAGTACATACGTGTACACTATGAAATTTATGTTCACCAAGATATCATGTGATTTTCCTCCATGGCTTCGGTCGTGTGTGTAGCTGAAGGGCAGGCCGAGGGAGTATGTATACGTCTGTCTAGTGGGTTCATGTACGCGCACATAGGTCGTATGTAGAGAAATATTGCACATTCAATATTAGGCCTGACTGGAAAGCGAGTTCACGGCCATGAAATAGTTTTATGAAATGTCCTCCAAGTAATGATTACTTGTGTATGTATTTCCTAACTCACTACTGGAGTCACTTGTTAAGTATTTTTTAAAATATTCAATCTACGTACTACTTTTACTCTTCCATATAAAAGAAAGACACCTTTCCACGTGTGATGACGTCTGAAGTTAGGGTAGATTCTTTTGTTTTTTTCCTTATAGCCTTTAAGATAGATCATGACATTATCTATTCCTTTCAGTATTTTTATTTAAATTTTACGAAACAATTTTTATTATAAACATCCATTGCACCATTGCATCCATTGCGATTTTATTTTAGTAGCAAAAGGTGAGTACACTTTTACTTTATAATATATTTATATATCTATATATATATATATATATATATATATATATATATAAATAAAGATTGATGATATTCATAATATGTACTTGCCATTTCTTATAATATAATTTATATATGGATATCAAAAATATCATAAGAGAGGTGATATAAATATTTTATTAAAAGTGTCATTTTAAATAAATTATTAAAAATCGGTCTTTTTTGTTTTTTGTTTTTTTTTTTTTGTTTTTTTGTTTTTTTGGCTTCAAAGGGATGAAGTAACCCCATGGATGAGGAAAAAATGTGTTAAGTTGATGACGTCATCAATGTACATAAAACTTTATTTTATTTGAATTTGATGAAATATTACGTGTGACAAACGAAACCTTCATCTTGGAATTATAAATTATAAGGATTTAGCCTTTCAATGTTGCTTCCATACTTAACTTAATATCTTAAAATAATTTATGAACTTTCTCTCAAATAATTTATAAAAGTGAACCACAAAATTATTATTGTTAGCCTAAATTAATAAAATAGCTCTTAACCTTTTTGCATTTTGGATTTTCAGAAGTACACTTGATTTTTAAAAACTTCATTAATATGGTTAAACTTTTTTAAAATCCTCCGAAACACATTTTTAATTTTTAAAAAACTTATCTTAAAATATACTTACGGACTGACCGTGTTTAAAAAATACTCATGAACTTTCAAAAGTAACATTAAAAAGTTGAGATAATCTATGAGATGTCGATAAACAATTTTTGTTTATATATTGATGGTAAGAATTTTTAAAACTTTTTTTTTATGAAGATACAAGACGTTAATACTACTTTTAAAATTTCACAAGTATTTTTAAAATATAAAAATATGTTTCAATTTTGTTTAAAAAATGGAAGGAAATTAATGAAACTTTTTAAAGTTTAAAGGTATTTTTGAAATATTATTAAAAGTTCAAGATAAAACAAAATAAGTTAATTAATAAATTAATTAAAGATGACGCATGGAACTGGTATTAGGGTAGTTGCATTTCATCTTATTTTATAATCTTAGATTAGATGAGCGGAATGTTTTATTTTCTAATCTTAGATATTCTATTTATTCTTTTTTTCATATATATATATTTTTGGATTCATTTAAGGATTTTAGTTTTAATGTGTAAGTTCATGACATTGTTTTTAAATATTTTAAAAGAATATTTCTGACGTTTATAGTCATATCATACATATAGTAACAAATCTATTTCAATAGAAAAATAGACGGTTACCTATTGAAACGTTTGAAAGTTTAAGGGTATTTTTTTCTATAATGATCATATTTTACTCCATATCTATCCGATAAATATATATAAGTCCGGTTTTCTTTTTAATTAGTTAATAAAAGAAAAAAAAAACTGGAGGAGTGGATTTTGTATCAAATTCTTATCCTTTCAAAATAAAGTATATCAGAAAGAATAATTGTTTTAGATATGTTGACAAGTTATGACTTTGTCTCTTTTTTAGCCTCCTTTTATCTTAACAAAAGATCCTTTATTATCTTTAATATATTTTTATTATCCTTTATAATAATAATAAATTTTTATTTTAATTTAATTATATATAATAAAAAAAACACTCTAATTTTGCCATAAATATTCATATAATTCTTAAATACAATTAATTAATGAAGTAATCATGATTGAAAAGAAAATGAAAGAAGCTTTATGTGTAGCATTAAGTAAAGGTTATAATTTGATCATTATTGTTATTGATTACTATTATTATTATTTTTCAGCTGTGTTGAATTTTAGAAGATTATAAATTATATATATATATATTATTTATTTATTTATTATTATTATTTTTTTTGTCAGTCAACCCTACAGACATGACCGATCCAAAAGTAGAAGGTTGAGTTCAGTTAGGTTGTGAGATCTATTCGAATTGTTCGGGTCAACAATCCAACCAACCCAAAATTCCAGACTGGTCTTAAAAAAAAATTTCTAACTCAACCCATTTACACACCTGGAAAAAATAACTCCCCCTAATCTAAATTTCCTCGATTAACCCAAAACTCAAAACAATGTTCTTCTTCTTTTAACTATTTCACTAGCCTTTAGGTATGATTAAAAGTAGAGTTATAGTACACAAGTAGTTAACAAGCTCATTCTGTCTTTCTTTTTCACGACATAAGTAAATCACATTCAAACGAGTATCCATAAAAATTGTCCTCACATTCACAAAAAGATGAAAGTCACGGGACTAACCTAGTCGTTAAATGAGTATGGTACAGCTATGAGAAGCTCGATGATTATACATAACAGTTTGAACAATATATGAAAGTTTGATCGATAAACAATGTCTTTCATGATTGTATTTGTCATTTCATCGACTTATGTTCAAAACAGACATAGTAATTTATGGCATAATTTCAATCCATCCCATCAAAGTTTGAAATTATTTGGTAAGTGCATGGCTATGAGTTTAACCAAAATTGGCACTATTTACCAACCATAAAGACATGAACATGAAGGCCCCCCCTCTCATTTATGTTCAACACAAATAAACAAGAGGAACAATGAAATGACCCTTTGTGCTTAAGGTCACATCTTGCTCACCCTAAATTATTCCATCTCCTATCCTCCCTTTGCCCTTATGTCCCTGTACTTTCCTCTATTTGCATCTTTCCCCGAACTTCGATACCCATTCAAAACTATGATTAGTACTCTTCGTTCAAGGCTCGGACTACAGAATCCCGTAAAATTTGTTGGTTTTGTAAACATGTATTTTTCGATTAATTAGATACAAATTATCAACCGTAACGTGTTTCGGCTTCTGTTTCATCCGATCATGATATGTCAAACGCTAAATAAAAGAGAATATTTAAGTTTTTTTAAAAAAATAATTATGATTTTATGTTATAAGGGAAATTGAAAAAGGCATCCAAGGGTATAATGGTAATTTAATAAACAGGAAAAGTTGATAAAGGAGGGGAGAAACATGCAAAGGAAATATGCGGCAATTAAGGATGGGATCCTTGGAGGATGCCTTCGGATATTTAATGCAATAAAATAATAATAATAATAAATATAAAAATAATATTAAAAAAGTTATATTTGTCTTTTTAAAATATATTTTTAATACCAGAATATAATTGGATATTATTTTTATATGAAAACGACTTTCTCAAATATTCTTAAAAATTAAACAAAAAATATATATATATTTAAAATTTTATACAACATTTTTCTTAAATCATTTTTTGATAATTGTTTTAAAATTAAAAAAAAAAATGTAAAAGCATGGTTTTACAAAACATTAAAACATTAAATTTTATTGCTTTTTATAGTGGCTCTTGTGAATCATTTGAGCTATTTTTATATTCTTACAAAAACTTTTAATATTTGTGTTTATTTAGTCCGTAACCTTTAAAAAAAAATTAAAATTTTAAAATCAATTATACATAAAATTTAAATTTATATCTAATAGATAAACTAATTAAAAAAATTTCAAAACTCGGAGAAATTCCATTACATGTAAAATGTATATTTATATTTAATAGGTAAACTAATTTTAAATTTTTAAAACTTACAGATTTTATTAAAAATAAAAGTAAAAAATTTAAATTTATATCTAATAAATAAAAAGTTTAGAAATTCATAAAATTAAATTTTGAGTTGAGTATATATATATATAAAAAAAAAGACTACCCATTTATAAAGATTAATAATAATAATAAATAAATAAATAAAAACATAATTGTCTCTCTTTGACCATCTCTCTCTCTCTCATCTTAATTCTCCATTTTTTTTCACCTGCCTTTCTGCAACAGTTGCAGACTCTCTCTCTCTCTCTCTCTCTCTCTCTCTCTCTCTCTCTCTCTGAGAGATAAGGAAAAGAGGTTAGACTTTTCCCTTCTCTTCTTCCTTTCTCTCTCTCTCCATTTTTTTTTTTTTTTTTCTCTGTCTACTGTAACACAGAGCTAATTGGTTTTCCCAATTCCCCTCTTTTTCATTTCTGCCAATCCAATCAGATGCTTATACGGATTTGATTTCCATCCTTTTTTTTTTTTTTTTTTATAATTTAATTCTCCTTCTTCTTCTTCTTCTTCTTCTTCTTCTCCTTCTCCACCGCTTTATTGCAACTTCCACTTTCTCTCCCTCTCTCTCATCTCACGGCTACGATCCTTTTGTCCTCAAATCGTACGGCTAGGGCACCTCGTTGTCACCCCTCTCTACGTAAGTAACCCCCTCCCTCCTCCTCCTCTATGGAACAACACAAATGAATTTGCCCTTCATTCATCCATTCCTTTTCTCCCTGTTTCTCAGATCAATTTCCCTTTTCTCAAATGGGTTTTTAATTTTACATCACTTTCATTAATGCCTACTTTATATTTTCCCAAACACATGCAACGCCTTCAATTACATGCTCTTATTTCATGGTGGGGTCCTTCCTTCCCTTTTTTGCTTTCTCTCTACACTCTTCTTCTAACCTTTTTACTTCTTTCTAATTACTCATTCACTTCTCCTCCACTGCTTCTTTCTATTCATGTTGGATTTGTATGTACATACTGAATCAGTTTCCGGATTCATGATTTGTTGGATCCATCGCTACATGTTTACTTTAATCTATTTCATCATTATGATATGCATTACCCAACGTTGTGGGTTCTTTGGCTGTAGTTTTAAGTTTGTTTTTGATCTTCATTTCATATCTTTCACCACTTCTTCCTAAATCACTTCATAAGGCTATGAATATCATAGGCTTAATTAATGCATTATTAGCTTGCCCTTTGCATAAACTAGTTTGACTTGAGATTTGAGAATCCCTTTTGGACTTTGAAGGATATACGCATCCCATTGGTAGGTGAGACAGGTAAGTTGTAGTGATTGGAAGTTCATTGCTAAACTATTGTGATTGGTGATGAATGTCACAATCAGCTAAAGGGAAATCTGTAGGGACCATTCATTTGGATTAGATTTCACATGCTTCTATGGAATGTTTTTCTTAATCATACCATCTAATGCCCCTTTCTGCTCTCCTTTTTTGACTGAACCACGATGTTCTCATTCATTTTCTGATTCTGTAATGATTTAGAGTATCAGATTTTCATTGCTAAGAACCTCTTTAATCATGTGAACCTCATCACAGGAATGTTTCCATATTTATCATCATTTGTGGATTCATTTTATTGATCAATATGTGTTACTCTTTCACATACTTCCCTTGGAACTTTTTTCTGCACTACTTTTGGCTTCTTTTCTTGTTAAAGGGCTAAAGAATGGACTTACTTTCTAGAATTATGTTGATTTTTAACACAAATATAAATGTTTTAAACAAATTAACGAAGTTGACCAGAAGTTTAACTCGAACTTTAACTCAAAGGTTTGATATGCAGAAAGGTAAAAGTTGAGTGACATGTAGTTTTTCTGAATAATCTTGAACACAGATGTCATCTCTCTTATTTTGGAGTTATATGGTTCGGAGTTGAATGTTTGGAGCAGTGGAATACTTTTTGATGGTCCAACCAACTTTTGATTTTTCTACTAATATATTTGATGATTGAGGTAGACGTGCACATTTTACCCATTGTATACTCTTAAACGTATCGTCCTGCCATTTATAAGGATGGTGTTTCTGTGTTCTAGCTATAGTTCTACCTGGTGTTCCTAAAGGTGCTCGTGTTCTGTCGTTTTTCTAATGCCTTTTTGCCCCTTCCATACACTAAGCCTTCAATTCCTGTTGGAGGAGGCAGCTTAGGAATTCTTTTACTTGTAACTCTGTATTATGTTCTCAGAAAACTGGTAACATCATTTATGTTTATGATTTGCAGTTAGCAAGCAGCGTCGTTTCAAAAAATGGCTATGGAACCTGATGGACCGAAACGAGCAAGGAAAAGAAACCATTTGGTTCAAGTAAATGGTGACTATAATTCACTGAGTATGAGTGAAGATCTTGATCCCTGGACTGCTTGGGCATACAAGCCTCGTACTATATCCTTGTTACTTATTGGTGCATGCTTCCTTATGTGAGTGTTTTGTGCAATAGCTTGTTTCTTATCATTAAATTCTTCTGTCCAAATTTTTGCTGCAATTGTACTGGTTCATTTTGAACTTTGTATTGGCTTAGCATATGAAGGAAACTTCGGCTCTTTAATATTTTTAACATCCGTTATTTATCTTGTTGCTCGTCTGAATGTATGTCTTAACCAGCTGGTCTAGTGGAGCCCTTGATCCTCAAAACGCAGCACATGAGGATAGCGCTAAATCGGTCAAAAGGTTTGTGTCGATTAGAATTATGGCATCACTGCTTTGTTTATGTTAGAAGCTCATCCTACTAAGTGCTATTCCATGTAGGGGTGTATGGGCTATGATTTCAGTATTTCTTGCCTATTGTTTGCTGCAAGCCCCATCAACGTAAGTGGTTATTCATCCTCATCTTTTGTATTGTACATAAAGAAAAATCTATGGTATAGAGTTTACATTAATACTTCTAAAAAAGTTGGAACCTTTTTTCGACTCTAGATTTGCTTTGTTCCTTTGTTCCTGTTCTTCATCTACACGTCATTTAACGAGATGATCATTGTTTCTGCATTAGAAGATTGCAAATCTCAGACTTCTTTCATTGTTGTTGAGACCTCCATTTTATATTTGTGCGTTTTGTAATCGTTCGTTTAATACTATCAGTTCTAGTTGGATTTGAAATGGAAGCTTTTTGAGATCAGTTTGGTAGGATTAATGATTAGAGAAGTTCTGATAAGGTATTTTCATGCCCCTCACACTTGAGATCATTACTTGCAGGATTTTGATTAGGCCACATCCAGCAATTTGGCGTTTGGTACATGGAATGGCTGTCATTTATTTGATAGCGCTTACCTTTTTGCTTTTTCAGGTCATGTTTCCCTTATAGTGGAGTATATTGTATTGTGTAATTGATAAAAAAAAACAGGATCTTGATTGAATACTTCAGTTCTGTGTATAAAATTTTCATTTTATGACACTTCTATACATGTTCTACATTTAGAAATTGGCTTTGGTTTTAACATCATGTTATAATTGTCTTCCAGAGTCGTGACGATGCTCGACAGTTCATGAAGTTTCTCCATCCCGACCTTGGTATTGGTAATGTCCCACATCTTTGTTGAACTGTTTTGGTGCATTTGGATGCATCTAGTTTTGGTTTACATATCCTTCCATTTCATGCAGAACTTCCTGAAAGATCTTATGGTGCTGATTGTCGTCTTTATTTACCTGAAAATTCCAGAAGCAGGTTTAAGAATGTTTATGTACGAAATCTTTTGCCAATATACTCCAACTGTTCTGCTGCAATATTGTTTTTCACATCTATGATATTCATCATACTTTCTTGTTCTTATTTCCAGGAGACACTTTTTGATGAATTTGTTCCAGCTCATATAATTGGATGGTGGGGGAAGGCTATAATGATTCGTAACCAAGTTCTACTATGGGTATTGTCCATCGGGTTTGAAATGATGGAGGTTCGGTTTTTCGTTCTCTATGAATTTCATACGGTGATCTCGACTGAAGTTTGGCATTCATTGATATAATCATTAGATCTCTTGATTTTCAGCTAACGTTTCGCCATATGTTGCCGAACTTCAATGAATGCTGGTGGGACAGTATCGTTCTTGATATTTTGATTTGTAACTGGTTTGGTGAGATCTCTCTCTTCCTTCCCCATGGCCACATGATTTGTTTGCCACTCTTAGGTTCTGTTTGGATTAATTGTTTTTCTTGTCATATCCTATCAGAGTAAACTTCTTGGTCAGTTATCCAATCTTTTGAGTTCTGACTTTCAGATGTTTTGAAATAGGTAGATTACTAGTTATTGAATCCTCTTACGTAGACAAGGATGGTTCGAGTGTTCTCATAGTTTTGTGTTCAACTAATCGTTGAGTTTAGAATAAATACGGGTTTTCCGAGTTCATGTATAACTAATTTTGCAGGCATCTGGGCGGGAATGCGTACCGTTCGATACTTCGATGGTAAAACATACAAGTGGGTCGGTCTCAGTCGTCAACCAAACATTATTGGAAAAGTACGTTTTAAGCCTCCATCTGTCAGTATGATATGAATTCTTCTTCAGTTTCTGATAGATTATCTTTTTGTAAGCGTTATTAGTTGTGGTGGTGCCATCCCTTCTCCTCTTCTAGCTAACTAAAGAATCAAATGTGCTGTTTCTCTGATTCAGGTGAAACGGACACTGGGACAATTCACACCGGCGCAGTGGGACAAAGATGAATGGCACCCGTTGCTCGGTCCATGGCGATTCATTCAAGTTATAAGTCTTTGCATCATCTTTCTGACAGTCGAGCTCAATACATTCTTTTTGAAGTTTTGTCTTTGGGTACCTCCTAGGAATCCTGTGATCATATATAGGCTAATCTTGTGGTGGCTAATAGCAATCCCAACGATTCGCGAGTACAATTCGTATCTTCAAGATCGGTACACTCTCCATCTCTACCCCTATGAATTCTTATTCTCTCAAACAAATCCATCCATCTTGACTAATAATATATGTTCCAGAAAGCCTGTGAAGAAAGTTGGTGCGTTTTGTTGGCTCTCACTTGCAATTTGCATCATTGAACTCCTTATTTGTATAAAGTTTGGACATGGTAAGATTTTGTGATCTTCTAAATCTCTAATGGTTTAGTTTCAAGCTTGTAACTGGCTGCCATTGGTGTGTTTTTATGTCAGGTTTATATCCCAATCCAATGCCCCTTGGGCTGATAATCTTCTGGAGCTCTATTGGGGCTGCACTCATGCTACTCATTCTAATTTGGTCGTGGCAATCACATCGAAGTTTAGCGAGAAAGAAGCAATGATCTCTCAGCAGCTGTGGTAGACTATTCTTTAGTTTCTTCCTGTCATAAGGGGGATTCCCATGTAAATATTTTACCCAGCCCACATTGATTGTACATGATTTTCCTCTTAGAAAGGGAACTAGTTTCCCAGATGAGCAATCTTTTTCGTTTTGGAAATCGAGTTTCCGAGTGGAAAATTTCCTATTCTTTTTCTCTAGATAGAAGTAAGGGTAGATTTGATTTAGTTTTTGGGTTTTCATTTTGCTTGTTAAGTTGATGATTGATATGTTTTTGTGATTATTTTTTCTTTTGGGTTCTCTCCATACTCGGACATCTCCATTGATATTTGTAGTTACAGAACATGAAACTTCCAAAGCACAGAATGCTGAGTTCAGAATCAGCTGGATTCAGTAGGCATTAGAATCTCTTGAAAAAAACATATACATATATAAGAAGGATAAGCTTACGGAAAGAACTTACATTGTTTCTCTTATGTTTACACAGTTTCTTGACCTCTTTGAAGGGATGCTCTGTCATTTCTATTACATTTGCAGGAGCAGCTCCATCTGATGAACTCCCTTGTGAAGCAAAGCAACAAGACTATGAATAATCCTTTTTGCTTGGAGGAATGTTGCGTTGTTGGTGTGTTGTCTTCTTCGTAAAGAGGCACGAGACTGCTAGACATGATATTTACTGTGTGGAAAATGGTATAGTGGTAAGCTTCTTCTTCCATGTGGTTCTTCCCCTCACTATCTCTTCATTCTTAGCTTCCCCTTCAATTTGTAGTAGATGTGTATACCTCAATGCTCCTTGGTTATAAGATCCCAACAGCCCACCACATTTGAGAATCTCAGATGCCAAGGAAAACCCATGTAGGATATTGATTTCATTATCTTCTATCATGTCCATATCCCTGAGGATTCCATCATTCTCTGGCTCACATAGTGATTGAACTATATCAGAGCTTGCGCATTCCCTTCTATACTCTAATATGATACTAGACAGTTGAAGGGACTCCAAAACATGGTCAGGTATCGTCTGTAATAGGCATATAAAAGTGTCAAAACTTGAATGGATTTCTTTTTCTCTCTAACGTTCAAGTATTGACCCTCGGGGCGTCTTAAAGACATACCTCTGGGGATAAGCTCGGTTTCTTCAAACCACCCCGAATCGAGTTATAAAAGGGGAAAGTCTTGCTAGAGTAATGAATGATACCTCCAGCATCCATCTTAGATACTTGACATTGTTGACATGGTGGTTCATGTCCAGATCACTTCTCTTTGGCTGGGTAAACAGCAATTATCAGCATTTCTTTCTAAATTCGGGTGGAAACCGAACCGTTGTTTTGAGTTTTAAGGCTTTTACCTTCAAGTTAGAGTTCATGTACTTGGCTTTGTCATCAAGCTTGGAAATCTTCTCAGGGGCATCTTCTTTGATAGCATGCTTTTCTATAAACCATGGTGAAATCTCTGCCCTTACCTCGTCTGGCATTTTTGAGAGGCGTCTTGTTTGCTGGTTCATCATCACCCATGTGCTGTTTTATGTTTCACCAAATTTAGTACACCACCAGAAGAGATGGCAGTAAATGAGTACAAATTTGGAAGAATTGCTATGTAGATATCAAATTCTTATTACCTTGTACCTCGAGAATAAACGTGACCGGTTGCCTGACTTCTTATTAGCCAATCTCTCCTCATTCCATTTTTACCCGATGCTCCAACCCATGTATCGATATCAACAATCTCCCCCCTGCAGACCTCCATGTGCACAATGAAAATGAGTGACATTTCAAGCAGATAGATAACAAGTTCCCCATGATCATCTCAAGGCCCAATAGATGCAAAACTGATAACTTAGTAGGACTAATATTTTGAAGGTATCAAGAGAACACACCATATAGGATAGTGGTCGACTTCGACGTGCATTCGCGAAACGACCCAGATGAGATTGTTCTTCATCATGCCATGGGTGGCCCCAAAGCCATTGCTGAGGAGTCCAGACATCCAAACATGATTCAATGCTGTTTCCTACAAGAAACACAAACGGTTCCAATGAATTAAAGTGAGCTAAGCATTTCGTCGAACACAAGTTGGGCATCCCTTACCTGCAGAAGATTCATTACACTCTCCAGAGTTGCAGTCTTATCAGGACCAACTTCATACGATCGAATCACAACAGTTTGTCTATACCCAACACCTCCTTCGATGATCAGCCCTTGCCGATGAGTATCAACCAGCTGCTTCTTCGTAGGAATTTTCTGTCGAACAACATTAACAACACACCCATTTTCCGCAACAGAGGCATTCAAAGATCTCGAAGAAGCTTCTGAAATGGAACCAATAAAATTGCCATTAACGTTAACATACCTCTGCTTGTTAGAATCATTCGCTTCTTTGGCAGTGGAGCACCTCACAACATAAGAAACAGGGCAAGAGAAAGAAGCCGTTTGAAGAGCTTCTGAAACAGAGGATCGGCCATCGCGATCTTATAGTGGAAAATGGCGGATTTGCCCAAGGAAGAAGAGAACAAGTTACTTCATTCTCAGTAGAAAAATGAAGATAACAAAGAAATGCATAGGTCATCGGAAAAATGGCTATGGAATCATAGTATTGATCGACAATGGAATCGTTGAAGGACGAAGATGGAGATGGAGTTTGGATCTTTGCATATGGAGGAGAATTTTCTTTTGAGTATTGGTAGATAGAGTGATAGAGTAAAAGTGTGTGTGTGTGTCTGTGTGTGAACATAAGACCTTGATTGATCAACCCATTTGCTTGTGAGTGTGTTTGTGTATGAACATAATAACATAATACCCGGATTTGCAATTTGGATTTGGCACTTGATGGCATCAGTATTGTTCGGCAATATGAACACGTTACCTACTTCTCACTTGTGAAAAGTGAAAACTATAAATCCATATTTGACATCTGATGGTCTCAAAATTTCATTCCTTAGCGACATAGTCATGCTAGCTATTGACGTGGTCACACTACCTACTTTTTACTTAGAAAAATTCCTAAAATGTCACTTAACGTATAATTGTTTTAAGTAAAGTATGCTTAAGCCACCGAAAATGAAAGTATACCTTATTGGTACATATAGTAACTTTCCTTTCTTGTAAGCTTTTCTTAATCATTCTATTTTTAGGATCACTCTCATTCAAATGTAGTGTCGGCTCATTTATGTACCCTTTTTTTACTCGGGTATCACATGTCCATCAACTTCTGCCTTGATTCGTCCCTGAACCACATCTTATTGGGAAAGGTATCGCTCTGATACCATTTGAAATGATCCATACCCAGGATTTAGATCGTTTGTGCATGGATCATGCTATTCTTCTCTGTATCATTCCAATTTTGTCGAATGTCCCTACCAATTAAAAATCAAATCAAACCTCACATATGGTATATATCATATTTTAAGATTTCAAGAATAAAATAAAAACTAAATTCAAATTTTAAAGAACGAAAGAATTATCATGTGAGTCACTTTATTTTATTTAATTATTCATGTGTACCGAGTAAGATTTGTACCAGTTACATCATTATTTAATTATCAATCGGTAAAAAAAAAATCATAGTTGAAATCTTAGGATGGCAATAAAATGTTTTATTAAGTATTAGAATTAAATAAATAAAACTATTTTTCTTGTTTCCTTTTACTATATTCATACAAATGACTTTTATTCAAGAAAAAGTAAAACTTATATTATTTACACAAATTGTTAATGAGTAAATATCAATAATAACATTTGGTTTTTGTCATTTCAATTGTAAAATTTAAAAATAATTTTTTAATTAGTTAAAGACAGATTTTATTCAAATCCTAGTACTCATTTTGCAAACAGTTTTTTTTTTTTTTTTTTTTACCAAATTCTAAAAGACTTAATTACAAACATTTTTAGAGCAATTATTGCAATTATTCAACAAGCATTCTTAATCCTTACTTAAAACCAAAACATATTATAAACTTATTTGGACAAATAGTTGTGAGATCTCATATTGGTCTGAGAAAGTAATGAAACATTTCTGATAGTGGTGTGAAAACCTCCTCCTAACAGACACGTATTAAAATTTTGGGGAAAAGTTTGAAATTGAAAGCTCAAAAAGATAATATATGCTAATCAATATCAAGTCCGGAGAAATAACTTATAAGACACTTTAAAAATAGTTTTTCTAAACAAAAAATCTTTACCAACAAAAAAAAAAAAGAAAAAGTGGTACGAGATTATATGGTATCAAAGCTACTAGCATTGTTGGTTGATTCAATTTTATGAAAATGTTTACCTTCTTTAGTTTATCAAAAGGTGGATTACCTCGGCCTAAATGAAGACTTTGAAAACTTTCTTCCTAAGTTCGGATTACCTTAACCTAATTAAAAGATGCAATGCGTTCTCCTAAGGTTCACTGAATCTTTTATTTATTTATTTATTTTTTTCCAAAGAGAAGGAAGATTATTATTGGACATTTTGATAACTAAACTATAGAAATAGAATAAAAAGCAGATAAAATAACCAAAATTAATTTGGAATTATCACAATTTTCACTTGAATAAAATATGAAATCATACTCTCTAAATTCTTATAATCTAATGCACATTCCCAAACTGGTCTGATTAACATTATCTACCTCACTGCTTTAGATTACAAACAAGAGCAAAAGTTACCAAATATGGATCACCTCTCAAACCTTAGGTTGCCGTGACTGAGGGCTGAGCTTCAGTATCAACGGCATCCTGTTCCAGAGATGGTTCATCAGATGCAGCTGATGGTGGTGGTGATGGCGAGGGCAATGGCGATGCCTGCAATTCTTCTTCTTCTTCTTCTTCGTTGTTGATAGCTTCAGCTGGTGGAGACGAATTTTGCTCTCCACCATGTTCAGAGTTCTCCGGATGAAAATTGATTGGGAACTTTGTGACTCTGGGCTTGTCAGCAAGAATGTTTCTTTGGATCCTTTCCACCAAAACTTTTGGTGGAGGTTCCTCACGAAGCTGTTCATCATCATAGTCGTTGTTCACATAATATCCTACTCTTATAAATTCTTGTCCCATGTATGAACATGTTAACAACAGTACTGTGACCCCCGTGATGTCTTCTTCCCGGATTTTTGACGGATCCGGAGGGTCTGCCTGCAAAATTTCCAATCCCAACAAATGTACCAGTTCAGAACAGTCAGATTCCAGTTTGAGCAGAAATTTGAGTCAACACGAGTGAAATTTCATCAGGTATTTCTATAGATCCATGTTTGACAAAGACTATTTTTTTTCGGATCAAGAAGATAAAAGTTTGAATCCCCTCGAAGTAAAAATATGATAAACTATCATTAAATTGTATGAACCACTCAAATATTAACTTGAATTTGATATCTTTTTAAGCCATGCTAAAACTGTCACCAGTGAAGGACTCGGCATATATTACCTGAAGAACAAAACGGTAATTGCCAACGTTAACAGGTCCAACGAGCACACTCTCCAAAAGCTGGTCATAGGTTTCATCCTCGGCAGATCCGACATAGGTGAGTTTCCATTCTAGATCTGTAGAATAATCAAACAGAAAACATGTCATTAAAGTTGATTTGAGTCAAAACCCAAATAGAATACATCGATCATTGAGCTAATAACTTGAGAAATTTACAAAATAAACATATAATTACTTATATTATTGGAGAAGAAATGACAATGCAGTGTTTCTTATCAAATTGATGACCCGTAGATCCAAAATCACGAGCAATAGATTGAGTATAATTTATAGTTTAAGCTAATAGACTATTGATCTTATACTTATATTTTTAATACTTTGGTCACATCTAGGATCAAAATTAGTAAGTCTAGAAAAGTGACTCTTAATATCAATCTCCAAAAAGAATAATAATTACTAGAGTTTGAGCACATAATTTTTTGTTCTATTATCATCTGGGTTTTCTAGTAACACTCAACTCTTACCCGACCATCTAATGAACTATGGACTAAATACTCAAGAAAAATCCAAACATTATGATTAACACAAATTATGAGATTGGCCTTGACATGATAGATTAAGTCATAAAATTAGTGTTGATTTAACAATATCTAGTATTCAACGTTCTAAACCAAACCTCCACCCACAAGAAAAAATGATCCAAAGAGGATAAACAAGAACTTTTGAAATGAGCATTAGGAGTTAAAAGGCATATATGAATCTTTAATATAAAGAGTATACATACAAAGACCCTTCAAAGATAACAATATCAAAAGAGCTGAGTAGAAATGACAAATTTCTATCACAAATTACCAAGGCTCAAGCATCAAAATCAGGATTTAAGCATGAAAAAACACATCGTTAGAATACAGGCGTTAGGTTACGAGATTTGAACTTAATTTTAAATCCGAACAGTATACAGGAAATCAGGGGCACAAAGTTTTCTTCCGCAAAATGTGAGTAGAGAAACGACTGCAAACAAATCATTAACCAAACGCAAATATCCAGTTTACAAGTCGAAACACTAGGAATATCCTACTCTTAATCTGATGAATCCAATAAAATAATTTCAAGACAACATCTAATCACCCCAACATCGACTGTTCAAATCATCATCCAAACTGATGCAATCTATCAAAACAAAACAGATTACCGTCTTTAAGCGGAGTTAAGCACTCATATGAGATCTCGAACTGAAATGGATTCAGAAATGCGGCAGGGTTATCCAAGACGGTGACGTTAGTGATGTTGACGGCACTCATCGCCAGAAACCGGAACGGAGCTCTGTAATTGATTCCCCAAATTGATCGATCTTAACCCTAATTCGGGGATCACTCATCAACGACCGAACGGAATAACGATGGCCGATTACAGGCACTATTGAAGTTGAAGATGGATCCCAAATGAAAAACCAACAACTGAGTTCGTCGATTATATATAAATCGCCGCCGCTGGAATTTTTGGAGGGAAATGGAACGCCCAAATTGGCGGGAGATTTAGAGATTCATTGTAACACAATTGTTATAGGTAGATGAAGTTAGGTTAACAAAATATACCTAATCAGCTTACTATTCATTCATATTTTGTTATTAAGTTTTATTGATCTTGTTCATCTGTTTAGTATCTTATTTTCTTTTGGGATTCATTCTTGCGGTATCTACTAGCCTCTCATCACCATCACTATCATCATATTTCAAAGTCTTCGAGTGCGACTTAGGTATAAATTTCATAGGGTTCATGCACGTTAAACCTCGATCAACTCTAAGGTGCAACTGTGGACCCTTGTCGTTCCTGGCAAGTTCACCAAAAGAAAGCTAGATGACGAACTTTCTAATAGTCCCCATAGGGCATAAATCACACATCATAAAATAGGTTAGTTATATGGTTATTCGAACTTCTCACAATCGAGTCAGGTTTACGATGAGGGGCTAGTTGGCAAACCCCCTATCGTCCCTATATAACCGCATAACTCATATGCATCAACAATAATTGTGGCCAACTCATAAGATACAGTTGTGGGCCCCTGGCTCTTGTGTGACTGGCTCACTACAAGAAGCTAACCGGCAAACTTCACAATAGTCCTCACACGGTATTATCATAAATCATAAAATATCATAAGCCAGTTCTATGGTTATCCGGACTCCTAACAATCGAGTCAGGTTCACGGTTAGAAGGTAATTGGCGAACCCCTAAACGTCCTCGTATAACCGCATACATCATAAGCATCTGAAATAGAGACATAACATAGCAATCTAAACATGTATACCTAGTCATAAATTCCATTCATAAGATAGTGTATACACATTTCAGTAAAA